TCTAAATAAGTGGTCCTCCTAACTGTCAATCATTCTGGTGATATATTTACGTAAGGCCGTCCTACATGCTCGTCACATTAGCTATCTTTTTCTGCACATGTGCTCTTTCAGGTGTATATATGTGGTGAGCTTCAGTATGAGACAGTCATTGAAGCTCATCTTTCTCACCGTGGTTCTTTAAAAATGGCCGAGGGTCATAAGAGAAAAAGCATCCATGAAGTGTAAGAGAAGAAAAGAAAGGTCTCAGCTGAGGCAGATATATCCCAGAGTGCTTTGCATGGAGAGCTCTCCTTACAAAGCATTCTGGGATTTGCTGTCACAGCGATCCGCTGTCACCGTAGACTGTTGCTACTCAACAGCAGCGACTAATAACAGAGATGGCGCAAGCACCGCACAGTGAAGGTTGAGCGACAACGAGGAGCGAAAAGCAGTAATCATCTGTCCAAACGGTAAGTTAATTGAGTTCACTATAAAGTCCGCCATATATTTACCGCTCTTTACTGTATAGAGATTGAGGGATTTAGGAGTTAGGGCGGAAGTGCAGACCCAGTAAGCTTGTATGAGCTATGAGAACAGCAACTTTTAAACAGAGCGTGCATGAGGAGAAATGGGCTTGTGCACGCTATCGCACTAGTTTAATAGGCGTTCCCTCTCGGGAACAGGTACAGGGTTGTGCATGTGCTTTTTCTTTTAAGTGGAGAGGGCGGGTCTCTTAAAACATTTGCAAAAATGCTCCACAATACCTTTAGCTTGCTAAGATTTTTTTTTTTTTTCCTGTGATGTGTATTATGCTTTATGTAATAGTCCAGCTTTGAACAAGGGGAAGGTCCTGCTCTGGAGGAACTGAGATGTTACAACTTTCAATTGTTCACATTGAAACACTCACATTTTGCTCAATGAAAGAGTGCTAAAGCTTGTCATCCAGAATAACTTCCTGTTTGTCAAAAGGGCACAGAAGCACTTGCACTTGCTGCGGAGGATGAGGAGAGCCCACCTGCCCCCACCCATCCTCACCACCTTCTACAGAAGCACCATAGAGAGCGTTCTGACCAGCTGTCTCACTGTGTGGTGTGGAGGCTGCAGCGCCTCAGACTGGAAGAACATGAGAAACTTTTTCTTTCTCCAGACAGCAGAGAGGATCATTGGGTACCACTCCCCTCCATTAAAGATATTTCATCACAGTTACACAGCTCTTAACCTTTCATATCAATGCCCTTTCAACCATGTCTTTAAACTGTTATTTATTTTCTCATACACTGTTTACATTTTTATCACTGTTGGACATAAATGGAAATGTTCATTTTACTGCTAAGCTGCTCATTCCCTATTGAAAAGCTGTATGCATCAAATATTAATTCATTCATAAAATTTTTCTAAGTCTATTTTGCCACATCCACTGGATGGATGGACGGATGGATGGATGGACGGATGGATGGATGGATGGATGTATAGACAGTTGGATGGATGGATGGACGGATGGATGGATGGACGGATGGATGGATGGACGGATGGATGGATGGATGGATGGATGGATGGATGGATGGATGGATGGATGGATGGATGGATGGATGGATGGACGGATGGACGAATGGACGGATGGATGGATGGATGGATGGATGGACGGATGGACGGACGGATGGATGGATGGATGGACGGACGGACGGACACGCTTGCTAAACTGGCGGGAACAGGGTTACTTCGTCTGTCAGACCCATAGACATTATATATGTAGACTCCTCATTGAGTACTGGCCGAGGTGCCTAGAGGGCTAAAACCTATTGAAAAATTACCTTTAGCTTAGATTACACATTATTATTCAGATTAAAAACTATTTAAACTGAAGTCAAACCAGAGATATATACAAAGTTATATATTTTGCAATTAAATATTAATATGATAAACACAAAGTTTTATATAAATATTATATATTTATATATTATTATTATTATGTATTTTAAGGATTGCTCTTTAATAATGAGGATTATGATCTATAGAGGAAAATTTGTTGGAATGTGAATTACAAAAGAGTAAAGTTATTATTTTGTTTTTTTTTAAATATAATTTTATATCTATTTTTATTTTTTTGTTAAATTATTTTCACTTTTTTGTGAAATCGTAGTGAATGGTAAATTTATGTTGTGTCCAACTAAAGGCTTTTTGTCCTTATAAGTTGGACTAAATTTCTTCCAAAAGTCTTTTGTAAACTATAAATTTTTTTTCATCTTGATTTACTCATATGCAAACATTTGTTCCAGCCTAACTCGTGGGTTTGTGTTCATTTCTCTACAGGATAGGGCTACTTTACTGAAATTAATTAGGGGATTTAATTGAAAGAAACTGTAGAACCAGTCCCACTCTCACCAACATAGAACCTATAGTTTATTGATTCATAGATAGATCTAGATCACACAGAAAAAATGCTAGATTCATCCTGCTGCAGCTGAAAGGATGTTTCCAGCTCTTCTTCTTATGTTTTTTATTGGCGGATGGCAGCCTACTTAAGGTGCATTTTTCCACTACCTACCAGACTGGACTGTGGTCATCAATGATCTCAGAAGAAAGTTATTGATACATACCACAGTGGTATGCACAAATCTGCATATTATCTATCAATCAATATCCTTACAAACTTACATATAAATGAGTATGTGTGTATATGCACATGCATGCACACATTTATATTCATACTATAAATACGAATAAATAATCCAGTGTTTTCTAAAAATCTAATTAACTGATTTCTAGCAGAATTTGATTTACTTATTAAAGTTTTATCATTGAAAATCCTATTTTTTCTCTATTTAGTGTTGACATAAAGTGCTGACGATACTTTGATAACTTTCTACATTCTACAAATACATTCTTATGATACATGGTCCACTGTTTCCATTTGTTTACAATAATTATAATTCCCTGGTTTGCCTATTTTGAAATGAGAACTATAAAGTCCTGTATGACCAATTCTAAGGCGAGATGTGACTTCCTCTTCTTTCCATTTGCACAACTATTATCCGCCACAGTCTTTTGACTTTTATATAGATCTCTACCAGTGTCATGATTATCCCAATGTTGCTGCCAAACCTTACAGTTTTTATTCTGAATTATAGAGCTACCCTCACTTTTGCTTAAAGGAATACTTAAGTAAATAATAGAGATGTCCGATAATATTGACCGTCCGATATTATCGGCCGATATTATCGGTAATATTAGCATAATTATGTGGTATCTGTGCATATCTTTATTGGGTTTCCCCCCGATAATTAAAAGCCGATAATATAATGCCTAGATTTTGCAAAATATGTTGACCGTTGCATGTCCCTGATGACGTCATTAAACCGCGCCAGACAGCAAACTGTGTAGCAGCAGCTAAGCTAAACTGTTCGTTACGAAAAATGTCTGCAGTGTTGAACTTTTTTAAAGTTTCAAATGATGACTTGAAAGTTTGCGATTTGCAACGAATGTGAGGTCCTTGTCATGTGTGGGGGAACCAAGACTTCGTCCTTCAACAGCGATCCTACACTGGACTTCATTTGTGTTTACATTTCAATTCTGTGCAATACAGCTGTACTGGTGAGGTACACTTTTTTCCTATTTGTGAAGAAAAGAGATGTATCTCTTGTTTGAATATTCATTGTCAGGTTAATCTCAGGAAGACCATATTCCAAAATGTTTTTTTGAGAATGTTAAAAATAAATGTCAAATTTTGCTTTTTCCTGAAGTTGAAATGCTGTTTTTATCCTCTACAATGGTAATTAATTGTGGAATATACAGTGTGTAGTAGGGTATCACAGTAAATGTAGGTTTTAGCTTAAATTTTTTGATTGGCATGATGTGAAATTAGTTTCTATCGGTATCGGCTTATATCGGAATCGAAAATTCAGCATTTGGAATATATATCGAATATCGGAAAAAAGGCAATATCGAGCATCCCTATTAAATAATATCTGATTTTAAGGTTTTTTAGCCAGTATATCTACTTCTTCATTTCCTTCAATGCCTACATGAGCAGGAATCCAGACAAATCGAACAAAACATTTCCTATTATGAAGCTGAACTAATAACTGATATATATCTAATAATAAATCTAATCTACAAGACTTTCCAGATTTGATACTTAATAATGCAGCTTGATTAATTAAATAACTATTTCCTTCCCTAACATTATATATGTTTCCAGCTCTAAAGAAGCTACATCAAATGAACTTGAAAGCCACCTGACGTTGTGCTGACGTCACTCCGGTGTATGAACGTGGCCACGTGTCCCGGACATGTTTAGAAAAATGTCCAACTGGTAAAGCTAGACGTCACAACAGGAAGTAGAGTCAATTAAATTTAGTTTTGTCAAGTTTACTGTCAGACAAACTACCCATAGCACAAGGACACAGTTAGCCATGCAGTAGGAAAGTCTAAGGTTCCAATCCCAGCCAGGTGTATTTCTGTATGTGGTTGCTCCAGCTTCCTCCAATCCTCCACAACATTATTGACTGAATGGGCTGCATGCCCAGTTTGAGCCCTCTGAAACTCAATTACTGCTGAAGGTTTACAGCAGCATCTTGGCCAGAAAATACATTTAAAAACACATTTTTGCCCAGTATAATTTCTTACTTATAGTAAATTAATTTAATTTTTATTAAGACAAACTCCTTCCTATTATATTCCTATTATATTTAATACTATATTTAAATTCAAATATAGTATTGTCGCTCCGTTATAATTTAACACAGATTTAACGCTTTAAGATTTGTTAAATGAAGAAAAGAATCACGATAAATGTCGTGACATAGATAATTAATTAACTGTAACAACAGACGGATCGTGACCTAATCAAAAGTGGTTAAACGCCTGAATCGTTGTTTAACAAAAAGTAAAAGATAGAACAATGAGATTAACATAACATTTAAACAATTAGGAGACTCTAATGTGTAAAAATAAACATCTTGATAGTTTCCGTTTGACGTCAGCTGCTTTTATTTTGACAATCTATGCGGAAGTCATGATTACAATTATCTAGTCTAACTTATTCGTTTCGTCCAACTAACAGATGACTTCGTTTTGATTCAAGGGGATTTAAAGAGATTATATTTAATTAAATCAAAGTTTAACTGAAGTTTTTCTGAATCTTTTATTCTGTAGATCTCTTCCGGTTAGCTTAGCCTGTAGTTTCGCTCAGCCTCTTCGGATCCGTGAAGAAGTGGCTTTTTAAAAGCTCCAACATGGAGGACATGTACGTTAAACCCGGTGAGTTACCTCAACTGAAGCCGAACTGACGGTGAGATCATTACCAGAGCCAACCTGCAGGTTTTAAAGCAGAACAGAACTCTGTTAGCCGGCTGCTAACAGTCAGCGAGACAAACCCCGTTCAGAAATCTCTTAATTCAAAGTTCTCTACTCAGTCATAAAATACCCACTGGATTTATTGGGATTCGATCGGGCGCAGACAAGTGATTTCTCTAAAGTATTAAATTCGGCATAATGGTAACAGATCTAATTTAAACAATTTACTTGATAAATATCAGTAAACTATTGTTTACTGGTTCTGATGGAACCTTGGTGCTGATCACCAGACAGCTTATTGTTTATTTTATTTTCCCGATTAATTTATAAAGGAATTATTTGAATGCGGTTTGTTCTAAAATAGAGAAATGATAGTTAGTAAGATTGAAATAGTTAATGTATAATATTATAAAAAGAAAATCTCAGGGTGAGGTCTTTGATCCTATTATGAAAAACTTGAATGGTGGTTTATAGTTTTAGCATATTTAAAGTATATCTTTCTGGCTTATACATATGTAATTGCAACACTAAACTATCTTTATTGGTAAGAGAGAGCAAATTCCAGCATTTATTCTTATTTATTCTTTAACCCAGAGGTCTTCAACGGTTTCCAGGCCATGGACCCCCAAACTGATGGCGAGATGGAGCGGGGACCCCCTAATTATATATATATATAGTCACTCTATTACAGATGTAATGTAACGAAAGTCATTTGCCCTTGGATTATAAAGTATTTCTGATTCTGATTCCTGGTTGATGGGACAGGTGTTGTGAATGAAATGGTGCCCAGCTTGAAAGAGCTCCTGTGTGTCGCTGAATGTGTGCATTGATGACTGAAAGACATCTTCTGCCTCCATTTAACTGTTTACTGCAGTATGTTGAATTCATGTTTATTTGGATTTAAAGACATTTAATTAGTGGAAAGAATTCACCAGGGGGGGAATATGAAAAGAAGTCTAATCAACCAAAACTTTCGCGACCCCCATGCAGTACCTCCATGGACCCCCTGTTGAAGACCTCTACTTTAACCCAAACTGCATTAACCATACAACTGAACCAAAGGTTAGCAGAAGCAAAGACTGGATCAGATAAACCAGTGATGAGGCTGAGTGAAGAAGAGAGGATTTATTTTTTTGCATAATTTTCAGAAAAAGGAAAAAAAACAAAAATACTATTGGCATGGTATAAACATCAACCTCTGTTTCAGTCACCAAAGTAACATTCTCCCCAGAGCTAACCTCCTTTCTCTCCTCTCTGTCTGTGGTCACCTACAGAGAAGTAAAGTAAATCAAATTATTTGTTTTTTACAATTCATTCTTTTGTTTAGCAACCTTTAAGATAAGATAGATTGGTTAGGTGGACATCATCAGGTATGAGAACAACTAACTGTATGACTTATGACATTTGGACCCTCTTTCTGTTCTCTGAGAAAGTTTTCCGGTTTTACCAGAAAACACCCACACCCCGGGCTTCCACCCAACGGGTTAACGCAACAGAGCGTTAACCCGTTGGGTGTGGAGATCGAACCGGGTACTTGCAACCTTCTCAGAACACAAGCACACTGCTCTAACCACTAGGCCAACCAGCTCGTCTATTCCTTATGCCTGATGCTTCAACTCCTCATCAATCTGGAGCAGAGCAGATCGTTCCCAGCAGGAAGTCTGTTGCTATAAAGCAAAGTGGAGTCGGTGGATTGTTAAAGATGACACGTGCATGGCTGCTTTCCACTGTGGATCCCATATTACTCTAAAACAGTCTTTGAATCGCTCCCGGTGGAGTAGGGTGCTTGGCAGAATCTGCATCGGTAACTCCTTTGCAGGTCGTCTGTGGAGCTAAGCAGCAGCAGCAGCAGCAGTACCGGCACTGACCCACTTTCTATGAGAAGAAGCTCTCAGCTCAGGATGGATGTTCTCCATGTTTAGGTTCATGCCTGCAGGTCCAGTGAGGTTCCTCCTGGGTAGCGGGTGAACAGAGGACATGTCCTGTCGGTTAGAACGTCCCAGTGTCCTCATCCAGCATCGTTACCTGTCATTTAAGAATCTCCAGAATTTTTCCTCAACTCTGACTTTATTTCAATTATTTATGTTTCCAAGGCAACCAGGAGCGGGGCTGGAATGACCCCCCTCAGTTCTCCTATGGGCTGCAGATGGCCCGCGGACCTCCGAGGACTGCTTTGAACAAGAGAGCCGTCCCCGCGCTGAGCTCAGGTAGGCGGTCCGCCTGCTTCAGCCCACTGCCTCTGTTCAGTTATTCAGAACTAAAAAAATAACTGCATTTGATTCTTCTCCAGGTGCAGAGGCATCGCCCACCGCTCCTTCCCCCTCCAGACCCATGGCCCCGCCCATGTGTGGAATAGCTCCGCCTCCTCTCCCAGGTTTGGCTCCAGGCTGTCTCAGAACTTACTCTCATGTTTTTTCATAACCAAATAAAGGCTTTAACATATTCTTTCAGCTGGACCGCCCCCTGCTGGCCTGGCTACGCCTCCTATTCACGGGGGACCAATGAGATCACAGAGTGAGGCAGACGGCAGCCAATCAGAGCCAGATATAGAGGTTGTGATGTCAGTGTTGAACCGAGCACTGGATGCCTGTAGACAGAGTGTCAAAGTGAGTTCATACCAGCAGGGGACAGCATCACCAATGACTGGTAGACATGTTGAATAAAAGAGTAAAAGAGAAATAATTAAACTTTTAAGAAGTTAGTTGTTTTATTTCAAGGAGCTTGTTATTTTATAGAGTGGGAGCCGCTGATTTAAATCATCAGTTTCCAGTCATTTAAAGTTTTATTTGGCCTGATAGAAAAGACAACAGTAACCTGTTTAAACTTCCTGGTCCTGACAGGTTCAGGTGTGTAATGAAGTGGCCAAGAGGCTCCGCCTCTTGGAGGACAGTTGGAGGTCAGGGAAACTCAGCCTCCCCGTCACCAGGCGCATGGAAACGCTGAGCCAAGGTAACCAGGTCCCTGTCTGAAAGCCTGAACATCTGTCTGACTGAACATCTGTCTGACTGACGGAACATGGGACGATTAGGGGTTTGGGAAATAATCAATTTGGCGATATTCTGATTTTCAGCTGTCCAATATAATATTGAACTTTCAGTTCAAATATAAGTTTGTTAAAAAGAAAAATATATTTATATATCTAAATCAATAAGGGAAAATGGGCTTCCTCTGCACCGCCACCCTGGTAGATAGTTCCTTGGAGCACTTTTACTGTGCGCCGCAGCACCATTTCTGTAGTTGAGGTGTTCACGGTAGAAGATGTGGACTGATTCAAAGCCCAAACAACATGGATTCTAATGATTATATACAGCTCTTGCTTTATTATCTATACATTTCACTTTGGTAGCTGGGAAAATATTGCAATGTAGATTTCAAAATCATTATAATACGGTAATGTGACCCAAGTATCGTTAGATGTATCGTATCGCATTAAAAACTCACCCCTAGTGAACAACTGTCCATCTGAACATCTCTGTCTGTTTGACTAAGCATCTATCTGTGTGTGAACATCTGTGTGTCTGTCTGAACATCTGTCTGACTAAGCATCTATCTGTCTTCCAGCGCTGCAGTCAGGTCGTTGGGACTCAGCCGATGAGCTCCATCGCTCTCTGATGGTTGACCATGTGACTGAGGTCAGCCAATGGATGGTCGGCGTGAAAAGGCTCATTGCTGAAACCAGAAATCTGAGTCCAGAACATCTAAAACCACTTCAGAGTTCAGCAGAACCAGTCCAGGAGTCCACCAGAGGTGTTGAGGACTCTGTAGAACCAGACCAGGACACTGAAGCAGAACAAGGCCCTGAAGAAATGGACCTCCACCCTGTGGAACCAGTCCAGGACCTGGTATCCCAGTCCTGAGTGTCCCAGAGGTTCTTTTGTTGGACTTTAGTTAAAACTGATGAGGATTTTGATGCGATTCTTAAGAAGTTCTATTCCAGACCAGTTCTGGATCATGAAGCTGTTCTATTTCTCTGAGTGGTTGGGCTACCAATTCCACTTTGGTTCTGTTGAGCTGGTTTCGACTCAGGGCTGGTGTTCCTACTGTTGGCATGAAGGGTTTTGGTCCTGTCTGGTCCTCCTTTTAGAACTGGACTCTCCTGACTGAAGACCCAGTCAGAACACCTGGTACCGCGGGCTACAGTTCTGGCTGAAAACACTCCTTTAGTCAGAAACACGATCTCTAGATTCTTTTGAATAAATTCATAATGAACAGAACCTGGTTTCTTTCTTTAACTCAGGAATGGCTCTAGATCCCTTAGACCTGGTCCCATCTCTAAAAGATTAAATCTCCTAATGTCAGATTAAACCTCCTACTTTCAGATTAAATCTGTCAGATTTAATCTACTGTCAGATTACTGCGAGGTTAAACCTAGTATCAGGTTAAACTCTCAAGATTATGTCTCCTACTTTCACATTAAATCTCCTACTCTCAGATTAAACTTCTTATTGTCAGATAAATCCTCCTACTGTCAGATTAAATCTTTCAAATGTAATCTACTGTCAGACTAAAAATGTCAGATTAAACCTCTTACAATCAGAATAAATCTGCTTTCAGATAAAATCTACTGTGAGAATAAACCTAGTATCAGTCGATCCGCTGCTGTTTGCTGAATTATTGGGCCTCATGCAACATTTTCCTATTCTTGTCTTAAATTTCTCATCCTTTTTCTCCTACCAACGCCCCAAATCAGATTCAATAAATGTTTTAGCTTCAGTAAATGACAAACTTACGGAAGAGGATTAGGGCCACTGAAAAAAAAAAGAAGTTGACTGATTTTTAAATTTTATTTCAGTTTACATGGGACTTTTTTCTCTGACTTTAATCTCAGAATTCTGACTTTTTTCTCAGAATTCTGACTTTTTTTATTGTCAGAATTCAGTCAGAATTCAATCAGAATTCTGATATTAAAGTCAGAATTCTGACTTTTTTTATTGTCAGAATTCAGTCAGAATTCTAAGATTAAAGTCAGAATTCTAACTTTTTTCCCATACTATACTGAAATAAAATGAAAAAAATCAGTAAAATTTTATTTTTTCAGTGGCCATAATCTTCTTCCGTACAAACTTGATGCAGTCAACCTGTGTTCTGAAATGTAAATCTGCAGTTACCGCCTCAAGGATACCATATAAGGATACGACTTCCCACGCTGTCAGATGGTGCTCATTCATAGAAATGGATTTGAAGATGAAGAAGAAAAACTTTTAAGGTTTAGAGATGAAGGTTCTGTGAGACTGAGAGCTAAGAAGCAGGATTAGAAGGACCAGAAAAAAGCCAAGCAAGGAAATAAGAGTGGAGAATGACGTGGTTGGACATTTACACAGGTAAAAATAAAATAAGAAGAAAAATCCAATGATCCAAAAACAGTCAATGAAAACTACTGATGGAGGCAAGAGTAGCAACATCTTATGTAAATATTCATGAGTTCACCATCAACCAACACAATAACGTTCTGCTAAATCTACTTTAAATTCACACACACACGTACTGTACATCTCGTCTGTCATCCCTACATCTACTCAGACATAAACATCAAAATGTTCACAATTAAACTATCTAATCTGATGAATTCAGACCCAAACTTCCACATTTAGTGTAATAACAAAACCATTAGCTGCCATAGAGGGAAATGAATGAAAGTCTGAACGTTAGAGGAGCTTTGCTGAACTTTCATCCATTTTCTGTTCCAGATGTTATTTCAATAGTAGCTTGATCTCACATAGAATCACTGACTGTTCTTTTTTTGGATGAAGTGACAAGGAGTTAAACCAGAGTCTCCTGGATACCGACATGTCAGATGCAGGTGATGTGACCATAAATTCTGTCATCAGCTAATAAAAATGTAATTTATAATTGCAGAGCTGCATAATATATAGTGATGCAGCCTAATAAAATGGGGAAAAAAAGTAAAAACAATTGTGGTCATTTAGTGAAAAATAGATCTTGATAACAGCTGAGCGATTGATAAAGTTCCCTTGTCAGTCTGAGGCACTTGGAAAAATTAGTTCCTACCTGAGAGAAAATTAGAAATAGTAGAAAAATTGAGAATTTTTTTCTCCTGAAACCACTTCTACAAACGTTTAGGAATGAAATTGTTCTTGGATGAGAACTATTGAATCTGTGATCGACCTCATGGTCTGATGAGAAAACCTCCAGCCCTACATTTAGCCGGATTACTGATACCCAGCTTGAGGAAGCAGCACTTGTAGAGCCTGGGTTGGTCTTTATGGAATGGATGAGGCCTGGATTCTCTGATCAGGCTAAAAGAAGTCTGACTTCATCTCTAATTCTGGGATTTTCTGAATTCAGCCCTGGTTTGTAAAATTCCAACGACAACAACATAATCCGGACCAAGCAGCCTAAGGCAGTTTTTAATCCAACTCCCCTGTTTCCTGAGGCTGCAGACTGGTTGTAGTACTAGAATCAAGCCAGCAGGTGTCAGCAGAGACTTTTGGAGGTTCTGTCTGATTCTTGGACTAACAAGGCTGATCTGACTTTAAAAAAAAGCCACAGATTTGTTTATAAAATATTTCCTTCATGAAGTGAAAAAACAGCCTGTATCTGTCTGATAAAGGATTCATACCCTGGTAACTGTTTACTTAGAGCCTGTCTGGCAGCAAGTATGATCTTCAAAAACAGTACATGTTCTGATTTAAACAGCTTCAGATGAAGAACAAAATATCTGTCACCAACAGTCTGGAAGGGTTGCATAACCTTTTCTGGTTCTTGGGGAAACCAGTTCAGAACCACAGTCAGATCCAATATTCACACTCAAAAAAGGCATGGAACAGTGGAGAATCTTCCTAGGAGAAACCCAGATCAACCACTTGTCCAGGAGGAACTCCAGCACCTGGAGGACCTCCTGTCTTCAGTAAAACCAGGAATCCTGAAGAAGAACGTCCAACCAACAGATTAGACTCTCTTTTGGATCTACAAGGTGTTGATCTGAAGCATAGAACCAGGTCCAGCTCTGAGTAATCAGAAGAATGTTAGAGTGGCCTAGTTAAAGTCTAGAGGACCCTAAAAGAAGGATGAAGCTTGATAACCTTCCTTTGTATCTGAATTAAAACTCATAATCCAAGCAGAGTGTGTCCAAAGACCACCACAGTGAAGACAAAGACATTAAGGGGTTGATTACTTTTAGATCAATGTATTTTTGGAGAAATCTTCCTCTTTAGTGATTGAGGCAATTTAAACATTTAAATATCATCCTGGGTTCCTTTATCTGATGCCAAAATTTTTTGTTATATCTGAGATAAAACCACAAGTTCTGATGGGGGTGAAAACTTTTCACAGCGCTGCAGCTCCAGTCCCTTTGAACGACCCGGCAGACTTCATTTAGACGTCATCCTGGATCGGATGATCCCCTTTCCTGGAACGGACAGTTTGGATGCAGAACCTCTGGCTGCTTCTGGACCTAGAGGAAGTTCATTCATCTGGCAGGTTTCTGTTCATCAGCCAGTCCTCCCAGTGCTCCTATACAAGTGCTGTGTTTTCAGAGAAAAGTTTGACTTCAGGCTGAACTTTGCTGACTGGGCCACAATCCTCCTCCTCCTCCTCTTCATCTCTGGAGATCCAGGGAGGAGGAGGAGGAGGAGGGCGTGAAACAGGAAGCCAAGCAGAAAGAAAAATGACAGAAAGACGGAGAGAAAGAAAGGAGTGAATCCCAGCAGAGTGGCTAAAAATAAACCGAAGGAAAGAAGAAAACACTGCAGCCGCACAGAGATCTGGACCGATCCAGAAACTCATCCTTCTCAATGGATTCAGAACCAGGTTATTCACAGCTGGACCACAATCTGATCTACTGCTAATCCAGAACCAGAACCCCTAAAGGAGATTATTCAGAACCGATTCAGAACTGATTTCATGAATACCAGGGGCCACAAACAGTCAGGGGCCAATATGTACCAGGGGCCACAAACATTAAGATGCCAAACTGTATCAGGGGTCACACATAGTCAAGGGCAAAAATGTAACAGAGGCCACAAATAGCCAGTTGCCAAAATGTACCAGGGGCCACAAACATTAAGATGCCAAACTGTATCAGGGGTCACACATAGTCAAGGGCAAAAATGTAACAGAGGCCACAAATAGCCAG